GGGACGGGAGCGGGCGGGGAGAGCCCGGCCGTCAGGGAGGAAGGCAGCTCAGTCAGTGCCGTCGGCGCCTGCTCCCGCTCTGAGGCGGTCCCCGGTGAGGGGGAGATCAGCCGTAAGCCGTTAGAAGCATCTTATTCTCATGAGAAAATCGGTAAGCGGTCCCCGTCCCGTCCCCCCGTAGCTTCTACAGGCAGCCGAGGTGCATCGCGTCTGTCAGCTGCGTGTGGGGAGCTCGCCGTGTGCGGGGCTACCCCCGCCCCGAGAGCCCGTACCCGCTGTGACGGAGGGCAGGGCGGGCAACATGAAGTCCGCCATCTCCACACGGCGATCCTGCCCGTGCTTTGGTCCCCGAACCGTCTGCAGGGCTGGGCCTGTAGAAACCGAGCGCCCGATCAGCTGCGGGACTAACAAGCAGGTTTTCGGAAACCCTGCGTTATGTTTGGGAGTGTGGTGAATGTCAATAGGAGCAGTGAATAAAGCTTGAGAGTCTTCTTACCAGCCGCGAAATGCACTACCGGCATTTATTCCTATCTCAGGAGGGAAGTTCGGGTTTTAATTGAATGCGATGTTAATGAAAGGGGACTGGATTGAAATCCCAGGAAATAAATGTTCCAAGTTAAGCACAGGGAAGGGGACAAGCACTGTTGTCTCAGTGCTGCCTTGCCAGTGTGCTCCAAATTTAACCCAGTGTAGTTGGTTGCTTTTCACGGCCCACATGCACTTTGGCTGCAAAGTGCTACTTCTTTAACTTTCGCAAAGTGTTACGCCTCAATTCCCCTGTATCAAGTTCCTCACCTCCCTGTCCCAGTCATTATTGCTTTGGGATGATTGTGGCATACATCTGGGCTGCCACCAGAAGGGCCGTCCTAGCTCTTGGTTTCCATTGTCTCTCCTGCTCGTAGATCAGGAGGCTTGCTTGATGAGTGGGATCAGAGGGCTAATTAATGCAGCTGAAAACCAAACATTTTTTTCTTTTATCAGCTTTCTGCTCTAGCTTTTCACACGGCAGTAGGAATACTAGTGCTGCACAAGAGAGGCACTGGGGAGGCAAAAGAGGACAAGTGGAAGCGTGTCGCCTTTGAGCAGCAGATGGGAATAATGACAGAGTACACGACCATGCAGATCTGGCCTAATTCTTACTCAGGCCGTGAAGTAAACCAAAACAGAGGCATCTCTTCTCTCTGAAAGTAAAAAAAAAGCAAGCTGTCCTACTGTGGACTTTCGATTTTATTTTAGTATTTTAATTATTATTTTTTTTAGGTTGAAGGCGCCTCTAACTCATTTGTGACAGAAGACAGTCAGCAGTATGCTGTTCTTACAGGTTAAGACCCTTTCAGTTATTCCCCTACATTTTCCCTATAAGACCACAAGGTGGAAGAAAGGGGAAGATATTAGTGCTCACATAACTGTCAAGGTCTAAACAAAAGTGGAGGTAGGTCTAGTCATACTTTATGGTTCTTGACCTCGGTGAGTAGTTATCTCAGTCCCATCTTGGAGCGTGGCCTTGGTCACCAGTTACTGATTTGGTGTTATAGTAGCCAGGTATCCATTAGAGTTAGGTATCCGCTACAGTTTAAAAATGGGTTCAGCATTTTTATTTTTAATTCATTTACTTTTCACATATGATGTCATCTACACTTGAAACCAGATCCTTCAGGTGAAGCTCTTCTGCTTAGTATGTTCTTTTGTTTGTTGTGAGGAGAATTAGATCTAGCAACCAGGTCTAAAGCTGATGAGAATTTTTTTCTGGTAAAATAAGTCTCACGGGTGCTGGTATCTGATTCAGACCCAAAGCAAATACAAAAAATTTCCCATTAAACCAAACTCCTATCTTTTGGCCAGCTGTAAACAGATAGTAGGAAGGATGGGGAATAATTTGAAAGGAGATCTTTTCATATCTATGGCAAAAGACAAGTAGTTAACTCGGGGCAGTGTTGTGGTCAGTGCACAGTACCAGCAGTGCCAATCATCCAATTACTAGATTTTTTTCAAAGCCTTTTCTCTGCCTGTCATGTTTTCATTCAAGTGGCTTCTCACAGAATTCCTTGCTGACAAGCAACCCCCTACCTCCTCCAAATGTCTCCGTTGCTTTACAAAATTCTTGACAGCGTCAGATTTTTACCTTTCCTGTCGTGCTAGCCAGTACTATCTCATTGTTGCATACATGCTGTGTGATAGGTTTTCTAGGAATACGCTTTGTTTGTTATTTGTGTAATATTGCACAGTACAGATTTTGACTCGGGTATTGAGATTTTAGGCCTCACCGTAACACACTAGTAATAAAAGCAGTAATAATAAAGGATGCCAACATTTTCTATAGGAACTATAGTTAAGTAATTAACTATAACTATAGTTAAGTAAGCTATTCGCTGCTGCAGTTGAATGCTTGATGTGCTTTGTGATTTAATGAATTAATGGTTCAATCAACACTACTTTTAAATTCAGTGTGACTTATAGGATGGAGCATTAAATTTATATTTCAGTGGGATGTAATTTTACTGTGCCATGCTTAGTTATGTTATTTTTACGTAGATAATCGCTGCAGTCTGTTTCCACTTGGAAGAGCAAGAGAGACTGATGTGAGGGTTCTTTCACTTTCTTATAGATTCCATTTGTGCTCATCTTCTTCCAAAGACAAAACAGATTCTGTTATCATCTGACTCAGAGGCAGTGGTACCCTATCCTCAGGAGCCTCAGAATCTGGATGACTCGTCACCTGCGAGTCAGTTTTCCCTGGTGTGCTGGCCACACCACTGTAAAGTCATCAGGGACAGAATTGAGCACATTGGTAAGTTATTGTGTTATGCTTAAAATCTTGTGTATGGGCGAAGAGGAAGCACACCTTTTATATAAATAAAGCCAAGAATTTGTAGTTAGTAGAAGTGAAATCTTAAGAGACAAATCATTATTAGTCCAGATTGAATTGCTACAGAAAAAAACCCCAAACAATAATGCAGTTACAATTATTATACATACGCTTCTCTCACACCCTTCTCCTGGCTTCCCTTCCACTGCTCCTCTAGGTCCTAAGGTCAGCGGTTTCATTGTAGAGGTGTCGTTCTGGAGGAAGGGAGGGGCTGTTTGTTGCGACTTGTCAGCCTCTGGAGTCCTTTGCTGGGAGAAATACGATGTTTGTTTTGATGATTCTTCTTCCTCACTCTAGGATCCAAATAACTCTGGGGTCATTTTCACATGTTTGCTAGCTCAGTCTTACACCTTTCTCTTTCTTCATCAGTCTGCAGCTCCATGTTGCATCTGAATTTACTATATATGGTGTTCTTTACATAGGTTAGATATTATTTCATTGTTCTCTTTGTTACCCCTAAAATGAGTTTTGTCCAGCTCTAGGTCTGCATTTCTACACAGAACAACTCCTTGTTACTGCTCTCTGTATAAGCCTATGGTTGTACCACACAAAGATAAACAAAAATAAAACAAATTAGCCACACATATCTGGTCAATTAGAGAAGCTGCTATCACAGCTAAATTAAGTGAAACAAAGCTGCAGGCAGATAAAGAAAAGTTCAGACAGAGCAAACCTGACAAGCCTTAGTCCTGAAGTCTTACATCATTACAAATCTCATCTGTTACTAGCCATGTCAGTACTGTATTTCAGGGCTATACGGTTAAATAGGAATGTCAGCTAATAACTGCTTTTATGCAGTCTATACAAAAGTCATACTGCAAACCTATTTCGAGATAGCGAAGACTCGAGCAGTCCCTGTGCTTTATAGATACAACCAATTGCAATTTGGAAGTAATCAGTAGAAATTGGAAATGCACAGAGGTGGGGTTGAGACATCTATGCCCTCATTCTGTTACCTTTGAAAATAGTTCCCAGTATCTTGAATGGAGTGGGATAGGACTGCTGTGAGTATTACAGTAAGGAAAGGCCTACTGTCAGAACGAATCAGTGTTCAACAGATCTTTGATATGCCAGGCAGATGTCACGCGAGTTACATGGAGATACTGCATTATATCCATGCAGTATCTGTGTGGTCAGCAATCAATGATTTCACTCTGTAGTTGGAGCATCTGTTTTCCTAATGGTACCAATGCTGTCTAATGTTCACCATTGTCATCCTCGCTGATGGTAAGCAAGCTGTACAGGGAACAGAGGTAAGTTTGCACAGCAAAAGTTAGTCCATGCACAGATTGATATGTATTTTTATTTAGAGTTATAGTGAAGATTTGTTCACCGATCCAAAAAATGAGGTTCAAAAGGGGACTTCCCTATTCGTTTATGTGCAACTGGTATAAGTAGGATGAACCACTTTTCAATAAGTCCTTCATATTATACAGACTCTAATACAGTTTTCGTGCTTGTACTCCTTCTGTGTGTCTCTTCTTTTTCAGATTGGATACCCACTACCCCTGAGCCATTGTACACTACAACAGGTTTGGAGATGACGCCGCAATACCAAACTCCTGACAAAGGCACTGTGATTTATCTAGGAGAAGAAGGTGGGAACACCCTGAGAAATCTTGCTGTCAGCTGTAGGTAGATGAAGCACGTGCTTTGATCTCTTTTATGAACCTAATTCAAAGCCTGATGAAATCAATGTGATTTTTTATTGTTATTTTAAAGCACTTGGGAATAAATTATTTTCCTATAGATAGGGAAGGAAATTAGTTACATAGTTACACAGCTGTCTCATCATCGATAAGTTCTGCTTGTACTGTTAATTATATCAAAAGTCCAGCTCAGCTGAAGCCATTGTTCTGAGTGAATAACAGTATGAACCAGCCTAAAATGAGTTTGTTCTGAAAATATGAGTGGAGAAAGGTAACTTAACAGCCAAAAGAGGAAGTGAAAAAGATGAGAGCTGTGTAACTGCAAGATCAATACTAAAGTCTGTGTTGGGAGAATATTTTGTTATCCTGGTTGCTGTAGTGGTTTTGCCAAGACTTATAAACAAAATCTGGTCAGATTGGATCAGTGCTTGATTACAGGCTCCTAAGTGGCAAGGATTCATTGGACAGAGTTGAAGGGAGTTAGTTGCCTTATTCCACCATCACCAGTTGATTATCAGAGTTATTTATTCTTTCGTGTGTTTGCTAAGTTGATCCCATTGCCTTGGATGAACTTGGAACTTCTGGCAGTTTTTGATTTTGGTCCTGGGCTACTTTTATGGAGATGAGAAAGGATGATAAGAGTTTTGCAATCCTAGGATAACTAGATGTGGCCACAAAATTTTCAGAAGCACAAAAATGAAAGGGAGCTGGCATCCTTCTTGAGGTCAACACAGATGATAAAAGCTTGCAATACACTGAAAAGCACTGGTACTCTTTGACGTCATGTTTATTTAGAAATTAGCTACTTCTGAAGTATGGATGTATTACCTGTCACTAGTAGGTTGTTACATCTGGTGGCCAAGAAAACTGGTAATGGCTGTGTGACTAGGAAGGAACCTCTGTCGTCTGCAGCTGGACCTGCTAATTTATTGCAAGGGATAAGATGTGGAGGAACAACCTGAATCCCAGCTCCCTGCCTTTTTGAAAACAAGGACAGTGATTTCTGTTATGGTCCTTTAGTTGCTGTTCTTTGAAAATGCAAGTTTCCATGTCCTTTATTACTGACTTGAACTTCATGCGCAGGCAACTGGAAGTGGTTCTTATTTCAGCCTGTACAACTCTCCAGCAAAGTGTGTATTTTGGTATCATGGTTCTCAGGCTTTGTTAATGAAACTTTCCAACCAAGGAGGTGAAAACTGCTGCCTTTAAGTATGGCCAGTTCTCCCTCCTTCTCCCGAGGAATGACGTTGTGCAGGCAGTTACAGGCAGACAGTTAGCAGTTCCTAGGCTAACAGACATCAAGCTGCAGCAGAATACGAGTGCTTCCTACCACTGTGGAGACTCTGTATCTAAACATATGGATAGTAATAATATTTGTTGACTACAGGTTGAGTTTTTAAGTGACTGTAATTGTATGTTCACTGCCTTGAGTGTGCCGCTTTGCCCCCTAGCCTTGGGTTTGGCTGTTAGCAGGACCCACAGAGAACTTCAGAGCCCTGGAGCCTTTACTCCCCCTTCCCTGCTTGCATCAGGGAGAGTAGACTGCTTGGGCGAACTGGGCTGATGGGTGCTGCAGCCAGGTGGAGGACAGGAGCAGGTAGGAGGGGGAGGTGAACTTTGGAGCCCCATGGAATTCATCTTCTTTCTGTTCCTGGGACACAAACCTCCAGCTTGCCAGCTTTGCCATCCAAGTTTTATAGCAATAAATATAATTTTTAAAACCCTAAAATCCTCCTCACAGAGAAGCTCTACAGGGTAAGACAGGCATCTGCATTATGCAGATTTATGACTTGAGTGCCTCAGACTGGCATGTAATGAGCTATCACATCCTGTGGGAGACAGCAGCAGCACTCTCCTGATTCCCACTCAGTTTGAATTTGAATTCAGCAGGAGCTGGGAGTTACTGCCTGTCTGGGAACTACCTGCTGCTGACTTCCTACAAGCCCTCCTAAAATCTGATTTGAGAAGGAAAAATACAATCCAATGGTGACTCCCATGCAGAAAAATTAAAATATCATGATAGAGATCTCAGATTTTATGCATGCATTTCATTCTCTAGCATTTGACTGATACAGATGTTTCCAGAAACAGTTTTACTGGATTAACTACTGAATCCTTTTTCTTCCTTAATGTTAAGGAAGAGCATGAAGAGGAAGGGAAGGGTAGAGAAACTGTGAATGAAATTTCAGCTAAATAGAAAGTAATTATTTGAGTGGGTATCCCAGCCAGCAAAGCTAACAGTCCTTCTCTATAATGAAAACCCCTCTGGGTCTGTAGTAACTTCAGTCATGAAGAACAGTACACTGAATATGGCATCTTTTGTGTATGGCAACAGTGATTTAAGGAATGAAAAAATTACTTCTAGGAATCTTGGCTTTACACAACTTTCCTGAGTAGTACTGTCAGAGCTTTAATAACACTAGAGGAGAGAATAAGACAGACAGACTGCTGCAGGATAAATCTCTAGCACAGCCCCAGTCAAGCGAGGGCAGACACAACTCTGATCTGAATGAGGGCTGCTGTGCAGCTTTAACTGTGCTGTATAGTACAGGGTCAGTCCCCCTTATCTGACAGCATGGTAAGGCGGCTGTTTCTCCTCAGAGGATCCAGCAGTAAGGAGACAGAGAGAAGCAAGAATACAGGAGTTGAGAATACAACAGCTTGGTGATCAGTGTCCGGCCACCAGTACAAATCCTTCATTTTGCCAGTTAGAAAGTTATGTAGCAGGGAATTTCACTTCAGGCAGATAAGACAGCCAGTTCGATATTGGCAGTGTGAAACCCACAGTCTCACAGTATGTAGTTCCAGCCTAGAATACCTACAGTTTTCACCTGTCCTCCTTTTCCCTGAGCTGGTCTTAAGGCAAGCAGGGTGCAGCTCATGCTGCTGGGGTCGGCCAGAGTCGCCAGCATGGCTACACTGACTCTGCAGCAGGACCTCTGGGCTCCCAGCTTTCAGCAGAAGAGGCGCATCCTCTCTATTTTGTGGGTACAGTTTGGAGATGACAGGAAGTTTTGATTACCCCGGTTTTCCACACCTTGGTGTGAAAAGCCTTCTGGTATCTAAAGAACAGCCCCACCAGAAAAGTAAATTCTTGCTGATGGCAAATCTAGAAGTTCTGTTTTGTAATGAACTACGGTAATGAAGATTGGAGTAAAAAGTTCAGTTATGCCTCTGTAAGCATCTCATCTGAGGAACAGTGAACTGTGCTGCTGGGTCTGGGTGTCACCTTTTTTACTTCCAGACTAGAATAATTGAATACAGAGATTTAAAAACAAACTGATGGCAACCATTGTCAGCTACGTATGATTTCTGAGCAGAGAGGTTGCCCATTTGACTGGTGAAAATACCTGGGGGAGCTGAGTCCTAGAGTCTTTCCACCTAACTCAGTTGCTTTGCCTAAGTGCAGAGTATGAATTACATTTTGCTTGTGCAGAGAGACACAGGTGCCTCCAAGACAGAATCAGATCTTAGGCTGGCTGAAATCCGTAAGGTTAAGTGGGAATGGGCAACAAAACCTTTGTATAATTTCTTCTACACTTACCTGAGATATGCTTTGAAATTCAGCTCCATGCAATTGTCTGTTTCTAGAAGGAATTTTCGGAAGGATGCAGGTATTCCCTAAAATGACTCAGGCAGAAATGAAAGACATCTGTTCTGCTCCTTCCCCTAGCCAACAAGAACTCCTGCTTTATGTATTCCCAAGAGAGAGGTGTCTGCCCCCTGAAGCAGATCCTCCATCAGAAAGAGGACAATACACTGATCTTCGAAGCACGGTTTGAGAGTGGGAATTTGCAGAAGGTGGTCAAAGTGTAAGTTTCTAATCTTTTTTTCTTTTATTAAGATGGAGTTATTATCAGAGTTGTTATTATCAGCAGCCTGCTATCAGTTTCTGAGCAGGATGTGTTATTCTGGGTTTGTAACTTGTTTTACATTAGTTGAACAAGCTTCAAAAGTAGTTTCAGGTAGCGTTCACTTGAAATGGTCTGATAGCCATTCCATAGCACTAGATGATTGCTGCAGGTGATAATCACCCACACAAACTCAACACCCTTTCTTAAGCACCTCCTTTAAAAGCATAGTGTGAAGAACATTTTTAGAAGTCCTAGTTATCATTAAAAGTCCTAATGAAGACAGCAGTTGCATTATTATCACGCTTGGTGCGATTAGGCATCTTTTCCTGGCAGCGACGTAGACTTTGATTTATGACAGTGTAAATTGGATTTGCACCTCATTCACTGCAGGGTGCTTTTTCATTGCAATCTGCATTATTTGACACTGCATCATACTACAATGCTAGCCAGCATCACAACTGTTTGTCTTCTCTTTGCTACCAGCAATGAATTTGAGTACCAGCTGACCCTGCGCACCGACCTCTACACAAGCAGACACACACAGTGGTACTACTTCCAAGTAAGCAATACACAGGCAGGGATGCCGTATCGCTTCACTATTGTCAACTTTACCAAGCGTAACAGCCTATATAAACATGGCTTGCGCCCACTGTTGTACTCAGAAGCTGATGCTAAGAAACACAAGGTTGGCTGGCGAAGGACTGGAAATGAAATCAAGTATTACAAAAACAATGCGGGCCAAGATGGACGTCAGTATTTCTCACTCACTTGGACATTCCAGTTCCCTCATGACCGAGACACCTGCTACTTCGCCCACTGCTATCCTTACACCTACTCCAACCTGCAGGAGTACCTGGTGGCCATCTCTAAAGACCCAGTGAAGTCCAAATTCTGCAAGATTCACATCTTGTGCCATTCACTGGCAGGAAACTCAGTGTATGTTTTAACTATCACCAACCCCCCCAAAAGTGGCAAGGGCACCAAGAGGAAGGCGGTGATACTAACCGCGAGGGTGCATCCGGGAGAAACTAACAGTTCCTGGATAGTGAAGGGCTTTCTGAATTACATTCTTGGCAATTCAGGCAAAGCTCAACTCCTGCGGGACAATTTTGTCTTCAAAGTGGTACCCATGCTGAATCCAGATGGTGTGATTGTGGGAAATCACCGTTGCTCTTTAACAGGTCAGGACTTGAACCGCAAATACAGATCTAACGTGAAGAAATTTTATCCTTCCATTTGGTATACCCGAAACATGATCAAAAGGTAACCTCATTTTCTTTCCCTTTAGAATAGATGATTTGCCTTTCCACTGTCTCTTTGTTAGTGTGACTTCTCTATGTCCCTTATTGTTTTGGTATTGTTTACATTTTTGCCCTGTACCTAAGCCTTTCTGTTTTGTTTACATTCAGTTGCATTTCAGAGTGGGTTATTTTTTTCTTTAGTATTGTGCAGGTTTTCCTTTAATATACTTTCTCCATTCCTGGTAAAAAGTTGTGTCTCCAAAGTAAAAGAGTTTTCGTCAAAACATTTTCAGCATATTTCTCCCACTATCCTTTGCCAAAATCTACTTATCAAATTCCTTGTTTCTTTCATTTTCTTCTTTTCTGGCATACAACCATGTCCCAGAATGAAGTTAGGTTCAGAATAGATCCCAGATGTCCATTTGACAGCAAAGATTGCCAAGTTTGCTGTATGTTTTGCTAAAAAGATGTTTGATTTCTTATGCAGACTTCCAGTCACAGAGACATTGATCTTCTGGATATAAAACTAAACCTTTGGATATTAAACTAAACCGTCAGCTAGTAAACTAAATCCATCTGGTTTAACTTCTGTAACAAATTAATACAAACAAGACTCTTGTGCAGAAAGCCAGTGTCAGAATCAGTACAAGTTTTTCATCTGGTAATCAGTAATGTTTTTCATCTAGTTACAGCCTGTTTTAAATAAGATCTGCGTTCTTTCAAATGAATGTTTTGGCGTGTAGATCCCTAGCTTACAGGGGATGAGCACTGCGCCTCTCGTTATCCGTGAGAATTTCTCTCTGTGTCTTACAATATGGAGAGAGCCTGCATTTGTGAGTGCCCTGTAATTAATATTAATTATGTCTGCTGAAGTGCTGCTGACCTTCAGCCTCATATTCAGCTACTGTCAGCTGAGACGGATGTGTTTATTACTGCTTCCTTCTTAGTTCCACCATGGATTTCCAACTCCTGCCCAGAGTAAAGCCCCAAGTGACAAGCTGTGGTGCCATCACATCTTCCCTGTAGAGCTCTGCTTCAACATGAATTGGGCTTTGGGGGTGTGGGTTGCTAAACCCCAATGTGTCTGCCTGCAAATTTTCTTTAAAAAGTTAGTTAAGCAATAATACATTGCAGAATCTTGGCACATCATAAAAATTGATGTCTCCAATTTGATAAAGGAAAGAATATTCACTGCCATTTATGCTTCAGTCTCATAATTGTACAGCATGTATTATTCAACACATGTACAATAGTGAAAGAGCAGCAGATAAGAATAGCGATTTCAGCTGTACAACATGCTCGTGTACACATCTACAGAGCTGGATGTATGTAACTGACCCTCAGAGTTAGAACAAACACATGGACAAAGGCTGATGATGCATACACTTATATCTTATCTCTGTGCAGTGACAAGTGTTTTATTCTGGAGGGAATGAGCAGTTTGGCTCTAATCTAGCATGCCAAAGGTTTAACTTAGAGCTCAGAATATGAAACTTGTATTGATTTCTTGCTCTTTAGGTTACACATGAGCTTCAGTGTAACGTATTAGCTTAGACTAGTTTCTGAGGTGGAGAAAAAAAAGGCACTTTTAATGAAGTACTCTGTGTCATCCCGTATTACAGAGTGATGGGGGAACATGGTGTTTTTCTGTATTGTGACATCCATGGTCACAATAGGAAACAAAATGTCTTCATGTATGGTTGTGAGAGAAAGCAGCAAGCAAAAGCACCATACATGCATCCACGTGTGTTCCCACTCCTGCTGAGCAAGAGCTGCCCAGATAAGGTAAGAAAATGTCTGGCTAGAAACTTACCTAATAATTCAAGCACCGTCTGGGATCCCTCATTTTTTGTTGAGGTATCACATTTACTAAAAGACTGCACTTCACCCAGTAAAATAATCTTCAGTTGGCTAAAACTAGAAATGGTAGGAATTAATTATTAATTAGGAAAAAAAAAAGTTTAGTAGGAAATGACAGCTTTCAAAATATGTCATTTTCAAGCAAACTCTGACTGCAGTAAGCTTCTTTTGAACCAGAAAGGTTGCAAAGGCTCTGGAATAAAACAACACACAAACTAACCTACTAGATGTCATTGCATACTTGCAGCTAATGCTGTTTTCCTCAGATATCAGTAATGAGGTGGTTGTGAGCTCCAGATCGGTTGCATTAAACTGTTGGTCTGTTAACTCATGAGAGAAGAGCTATTCCAACTTTTTAGTAAATATGCATGTTGGTATGTAACAGGATTTGTGGTATCTCAGCTGGTCAGCTGTCGATAGAGAATCATTTAGAAACAGTAAGTACAGCCACATAAAAAATTACTTGCAGATGTCTCAGAAATCCGTAAAGTAAAATAAACTTTTAATCAAAGAGCTGTTATTTCACCTACATCTCCATTATACCAGTAATAACAGTATGCTCTGAGCTATGTTGTGCAATATTCAAGTAGAGTGAAAACTCCCAATTGTTTACCTGGTAGATAAGATTTAAAGACCATGGAGGGTTAAAATGTAATTATTGCATCCTCCTGTTTACTTCAAAGGCTAATGCTGTACCTGTCTTTTAAGTTCTCGTTCCCAGACTGCCGTTTCAGAGTACAAAAGAGCAAAGAAGGCACGGGTCGAGTGGTAATGTGGAAGATGGGCATCAACAACAGCTACACTTTGGAAGCCTCTGTCTGCGGCTCTAAGTTGGGTGAGACAATTCCCTGTACCTATTTAGTAGGAATCATCAAACAAGACCTTTACTTTTGGTTTTTCATGGAAAATGGTAGCTGGAGCTACCATTCCCTTGGTGGTGTTCTCTCTTATTGGGTAGAAATGAATGATGAATTAAGATAAGAGTTGGAAAATACACTAAAACTAGGGCATTCACCTAGCAACCTTTCAGGCCACCGCTAGCATTATTGCATAAGTATCATGAAACAACAACATTAGTGGATGGCAAATTCAAAGCAGTAACTAAAGCCAGTTATATTTGTAGGAAATTTTGTAATAGGAAATCAGTTAACTATGCAATATAGTTAACCCCCTTCGAGTGGTTAGATTTGTTCATATAAGCAGGATAATAATCTAATATCTGTATAAAACTCTGGCAGTCATAGACTTGTCTAGCATCCGTGAGTGAAAGATATGTGAGTTTGCAGTCAGCCACCATCCTGAAATACCACAGATACCTAGCAGTCAGCAGGGTGACTGACATTTTCATTTCTGTCTTGCTCCTATTGATGCTGCAGGCTGCAGACAAAGCACCCATTTTGATACGAAAGACTTGGAGTCAATAGGACAGCATTTCTGTGATGCTCTCTTGAACTACTGTGTTCATAATAAGGAGGTAAGGAAAGCCCCCCTAGGCCTTTTCTCCTGCCTCAATTCATCCTCATGTGACAAAAAATAATACTGTATAGGGTTATATCAATAATAAATTTGATAATGGCTTTCTTTAAGCAGTGAACTAAATTTGTGGTGTTTCTTATTATTATCTGTGCCTGAAGGAACACAAGAAAGTAGTGAAACAGGAAGCCAGGGTGAACTCCAAGGTCCTGAATTCTGATGTGTTAGACTGGGATTCGAGGTAACTTAGAACTATTCAGATATGCCACAGTTTATTATATGTTCTCTGCACCTCATAAGGAGTGCCAGAGTAAATGTTAGAAATATTACTAAAATTGGACTTTTAATTGTCACACTCCTTAATTTAACACTCCTTAAAAGATTGCATACAAATCTTAAATCCAAACCTTAATAGCCAGTTCACTGGAAGTAGAGCTCTGTATCTACCCCAGGTGGCCTTCCTGAGGAGAAATGAAACTGCGTTGGTACACAGCTTGGTCTATTGCATCACTTAAATCAATATGCTTTTTTTCAGCTTTACATTTTGCAGAGCAGTCTAGCCACAATATAAGGTATATTGTTTTGGGTTTGTGTAAACCTAATTTCATTAACCGTGGAAGATGCTAATCTGATTCCATTTAGCCAAAGGGTTTAAGTTCAGGGTAATTGATAGCAGTGCAAGAATCTGTACCCGACCAAAGGATATACCTATGAAACATGATCAGCTCCTCCTGTGCCAGTGTGGACTGGGAGTGACTGCAAGATCGGTTGTGAGAGGTGGGCATTTGTGTTTTATGAACAGCTGTGGCCCTGTTGTCATTTATTAAGGAATAAAACTTATGTACATTTCTTTTTTGGGGAAACATTAATAGGTTGGATCTATCTTATCAAACTTTAGGTGCCCAGAGTATAGAAATCAAGAGCTGAGCTTCACGACTGGTGCTGAACTGCAAGGAAATAAAAAGAGACACAAGATCTTTAATGCATCATCAGAAAACTAGGAGAAGACTCATTGGGAACAAAGAGGATGATGTTCTGTGAGAGGATTTAGGAGGGGAGGGTGAAGTAGAACTAAAAGAAACCTAGGTAGGAGATGCCATCTGGATAGATCACATCTCTTTCAATAACCAAGCTTTTTCTAGGATGATAATGCCCACTTTTTGCAGGTTAGCTATAGGTCTGTAAAATTAAAATGTGGATTTGGAAGACAGGCATGTGGAAAATACATTTACATCTCTACAACTAGGGCTGCTACAGAAAACACCTGCTAACAGTTGAAATGAGTGGTGCAAAATACTGTTTGCAATCACCAGATTCGGAAATTAAACAAAACAGTGCTCATCTTCCACAGCAGCCAAACTTCTGACAGCCCAGACTCCTGTGATCTTGTTGAACACCAGCTAAAACTAGGTACGAAGGTATGCTATGACTTTTTTTTGTCTGTTTACATCTCTGTCCTGGATGCCACTGGGAAAGAACCACTAGAGTTTAACAGGCTCTATTTTGAAGAACCTTAGGATTAAGTCAGTCAGAATAGTAATTAACAAATCAATGGTCTATAGAGATACAGTCCAAATGAACAGTGCAGAGCAGCATTAATTTTCCCTATAGCTTAACCCGGATTGTCCAGAAGGTGGTGCGTTTGTTCCAAAAGAAGGTGCCTTTCTACCTGTCAGGTTCTACAGTACAGCTGAGTAAGCAGACACAGGGTCAGGATGAGGAGGGCACCAGCTTTAAGCACAAGAAGTATTGTGACACCAGTACACTGGTGTCAGCCATACTTTGCAGATACCCAGTTCAGAGTGTTCAGGAGTTGTGTTCTCCTCTCTCGTGTGCAGGCAAGTCATCACGCTGGTGCTAAGTGCGGTCAGCATAAGACTACCCCCTTGCCTGCTTCTAAGCTCACAGGCGAATGTAGCCCCAGATTTAACAAAATGCTTTCACTGGAGGGCAATGAGAACATTTTATTTTCCTGAAACCTGTATTTACTTGTTTTGTTGAAAAGAATAGGTTGAAACATGGGTTTTGTCCTTGTTTACTTGGTGGTTATTTCTTTGGTGCCTGTGATTACCATAATATTACTCAAGATGTTTCCTGTAGATAAGCAAAACAAACTTTGTTGAGTGTATTACTTTCAGAAAGCTTGTGGATGAATTTTAGCCAACAATAATAGTTCCTGTAAATTGTTGCTTCCTGTTTGTGACATAAATACAGTAAATAAACAACAGTAAAAGGGGAAGCTAGGTCTGGGACTGTGTACTAAGAGTGTGTAAAACTGAAGTGACCCCTGTAACACTTCGCAAAACATGCAGATAGGCATTTCAGATGACTGGGCTGGTTGACAAATTGCATGATTTGGAGTTTTAGATCTAGTTTCAGAGATGATAGTTTGACACATGATGTAGTCAGATAAGCTCTGGTGAGTGCACTTGTGGTGAGGGAAGCTGCCACAGATACCTTTATGTGCTCTGCCCCTCCCTGGAGGTGCTTGTCCCTGGAGGAGTTATATGGAGAACCCATGTTTGTGCAAAGTCCAACAGTTCCACTTAGTCCCACTGCCATCCAGAGTTTAAGCAAACCTTACTGGGTTTTGTGTTTCAGGAAGGTGAAGTCCAGACAGACTTTCCACTCGCCCAACCCACCTGGGGGGTAGTAATTTCTGATGGAAGGACTGTGAGGGTGGTGTCGACTTTTAATGTTTATCCACAGCTTGAAATTTCTTCCCCTATTCTGTTCAGTGCTAAAGAACCAAGCAGGAGTTTCCACCACCGATGCCATGGTATTTCCAGGACTATATTAGTTACAGAAGGTCAGCTGTAATGGGTTGGATGAAAAGTCTCTTTTGCATGGTACAAGGACTGGTAGCAGAGGGTTAGTGAAAGTACACGGGGGAGGGATGAGTAGTGAGATGTTTTCCTTAATGTACCCTCTGTCTTGTTTGTTCTTGTAACGCTTCCTTTGGGATTGAGTTTATTCATATGTGAATGATAAATCCACATGGGCACATTTCCTGATGCTGGATTTAAAAAAAAAAATTATTCATGAAAACTTTAGAATGAAAATGGTAAATGGACTCAGTTAGCAGCATTTTCTGATTAACACCAAGCATCCTGGGCCTTTTAGTACTTCTCAGCCCTTCATGCTTTCTTGGCCCGCCTCCTCTCATCTGGCCGGCAGTATGCCTGTGCATGGGGGTGTGACATGGGGCTGGCAGCTCTCAGGACTGGCAACTTGAGAAAAAATTGCCTAAAACTCTGAGCCTTTCCACTTCATTTGCTAAAAATAGCCTTGTTTGGGTCGAAACACTCACCATGCCAGGCAGTGGGATTGATTCTTTTTTTTTCTGATGTCCGTAAGCACCATTTCCTTGTGGTCTGTAAATGGTACATACAAGCAAGGCAGGTGGGTTTGCCTGACATCTGTGACTAAGCTGTAGATTGAGCAGGCTGCCACATAACTCATTCATAACTGCGTATTGCAAACATCAGTATATATTGCAAAACTACTAGTTAAATGGAGCTTCACTAGGTCCTGTTCTGTAATTTCTGTGCTGAAACACAGGCAAAGACATCTTTCATGCAGTGAAATTGTAGGAATTGCATTCATGCATCTCTCATGCAGTGAATTAAAGCGCTTTTGCTGGATGCATACTAGGAGCAAAACACGTCAGAGTGATACCGTTACATGTAAAGAAAGCAACAACAGTTTATCAAAGGAGTTTGAAAGAACAGTACATCACAATTCCTTCAAGAAGTCTCTTTCTTTTGTTCTTTTCATGATTCTGTGCTTTTTTCCATGTGGATCTACTTCAGTGACTAATTAAAGTTATTAGATCAAAAGACCTACCAAAATTTCCATTGTTGTTCTTGATGGGAGTTCTTAAAGGCATTTGAAAAATGTAAATAGGAAGGAATATCACATGTACAGTAGAGTTTTTGACAGAAATTCATGCTGGAGCTGTACGTAGCCCTCAGTGGCACTTTGTTGATGTTCAGTCTAGAAACATATATAGCCCTCAGATGTAAAATAGGAGCACTGTTATTATTGCCTAGAGAAAGCAAACTGTTGTTTGGAAAGAAGTCACATTAATATTTTGATGGGTAATATTCTTGTTATGTACATAAACATTGTAATGCTGGCTGCTTTATTAATGCTTCAATAGGTTGACCAACGCTTCCCAAGCTTTTTGCATTTTATGCCAATCTTTCTTTTCAGAAGCCCCAACGTCAGAAAAACAGAGCAGTGGCAATTAATACTACTGAGAAAGCATGGCTGTCCAGGTTCCCAGACTAAAAATAAACAAAGCCATATTGAGTAGGAAGTGAGGTCCCTAGTCAATGTGCTATGTTTGTGTCCAGGTTCATAAGTATTTGCTGAACAGAACAGCATAAGGAATTCAATCTTGAGCAGCTTGCTTACATGTGTTCCTTCTGGCATTGTGATTATCATGTTTATTTGCAACTGTTGGGGTTTTTTGTTTGTAACTATAATATTCCCTCATGAATCAAAATGGTTACATACTATATTCTGTGCAGAAAAAAACCAAAACATCAGGAGAACATTTTCACAGCATTGCTGAGGACAGAAATCATGAAAGCAAAAATGTGAGTATTTTTCATCCCAGTAGAAACATCTTGTGCTCTTTTTCTGACCAGAATCTGATACATGACAACTTAACTTAACCACTGTAACTTTAGACAAACAATTTTGTCACCAAAAGCTGCTGACCTAGAATGCCCATTGCTCTTTATTGTCTATTTCATCTGTGAATGAAGAAGTATCAACACCAACAAGTCTAGGGCAGGAAAAAATGGTAAAATTATGTCTTATGAATATATTATTTGATACATTTAGATCTTTCTGTCAAGGAATATGCCTTGGAGCTGGAGATTATACCAGTTCTTGTTCAGTCTCCAAAACTGCTAACATCTCACCCCCTCAGCTGGACCTGTTTCACTTCCAGTTTCATTGAACCCGATTTTTGCCAAGTCCATTAAAACATTTTCTGTTGTGTTTTCCAGTCCAGTAGAGTGTTGTGAAAAGAAGAGAAGGACATTCTAGAGAAACAGGCAATACATTTTTTAATTAACTTTGGGATCAGCCCAGGCCTGAAATACTTGTGCTGGCAATATTCCTAAAGCTGCACCGTGCCCCTCCCTACCATTCAGAGTGTGTGACTTGGTACTCGGCATTAGCCGGCCTAGCAACTACCATGGTATTAAGTTTACTAAAGGGTCATTGTCAGAATAGTTGGTATAAGATCTAATTTTTTTAAAAACATCCCTTCTCCATCTATTATTGCTGTTTGGCATCCTACATGACTGTTTATGAGCCTTGCTGTAGTTGACAAACACTTAAAAATCATAGATGAAAATTGTGTAGTCTAATGTTATGTTCTCACTTTCATGAAAAGGAATTTAACTTAAATATTTTTTACAATGCTGAACACCCAACAGCTTGCAATGTGAACACAAGTTGCTGAGTTTTCTAAGCTTTTGAAAATCAGGCCAAATACTGAATGCCTAGCTTGCCTTCTGCTTAGGGGGGAGAGGGGGAAGAAGAACAAAAAGAAAAAACCCAGCCTTTACATGTTAACTCTTTTCCCACTAGTTATTGAACCCTTACCAAGCTTCCCCTGTCCTAACCTAGTGTACACTCCTTGAACATGCCATAAAGTGGCTGACTGATAATACCTTTCTGTCAGTCTTTTGGAACTTAATAATACTAATAATTTGTTCGTGTTTCTATTCTGTTTCACAGACTCAAGGCATTGAAACTCAACATAAGATATTTCAGGTACTTGAACCAGTGAAAAAAGGTAAACATTATATGTTTGTTTAATTCTTAAAATCCCAATAAGCCATTTTTTTTCTAGAATCACAAGCCTCAGCAGGGAGTATCTTCCAAAAAGATAAGTACAGAGTTTCTTGGCTGGGATTTCACTCAGTCTCAGCATTTGGAAGAGCTCATTTTCCTTCAGTTTAAACTGTCCTCGTCACATTATTACACTCCGCTTTACTGATTGGGAACAGTCTCACTGGAGAAAAACAACCCGAGACAAATTCCAGAGAGGTGAAAAAATATTTGCTCCTATTGGCAGTAGGATACATGCATTTGTAATAATGTGCTCATTTGGTCCAGAGAAACTAGAGGAGAAAACATTCATTGAAGTCAAACAAGGCAGGCCAAATCCTATGGAAAATTAGGATCAACCAGAACTTTTTGGTTTCAATACAGACAAAATGAAAGAAGCAAATATGGAGGCTAAGGAAACAGAACTGGAGGACTTGTGTCATTGCAAGCACTAGGAAATCTAGGAAAGATTTAGGTGTCAAAGTGAACAAGTAGCTCAGCATGAGTTATCTTCATACTGTGCCACGAGGACAAATACAGTTCTTCCATATGTGAAAATAGGAGGACAGGATTCATTGATTGAGGAGATCCTGTGTTCTTAATGTATTTTTTTAAACCTATGTAAATATAACTGGAAGGTTTCCCTGTGTTTTGCCCTCCCTACTTTATTTTGGCCAGGTGTGTTAAATATTATTAATGAAATTCAGTATCAACTGTATAAAGCACCTCTTCACTTAGAATAAAGGGAGGTTCAAAATGTTGTAAATGTTGTGTCTAAGGGACATGCCTGTGCATACACTGTCAGACCCGGTTCATCTCGCCCATGGACCTTACCCAGTAGTTTCCTGCCTCACCGGGGCCATGCCTGTCACACCAGCCAACATGCTGGAGTTCCATGTCTTGAGAAGGAAGATGCCTGAGCCACCTGCAGTATGGAGGGAGAGGTGAAGTTAAAAGTGACTTCCCCTCTGCCAGCCTCTAAGTCTGGGCACAAATCATTACAGCTGTAATTGGCTTCTGTGGGACAGGCAGTCCAGTTAAGTACAGTTTAAGTATGGTACAGTTGAGTACATTTAAGTGTTATGACTGATAAGGGCTTGCCTGCCAAAGATGGGATTAATAAAGAATGCATTTTAAAATGTTTTTGCAATCTTGGCTGACTTTAAAGAACTTTCTTCCCCAGCTGCAGCTGTTCATTCCCAGCTATTGTGTACCATACCCAAGAGTAAAAATTTAACAGATCACATTCTTCTAAGCTTTCCTGGAATTGATGTTGCTTAGAGGAAGGGAAACAAACAAACAAACAAACAAGCAAAACCCAAACAAAAAAAACAACAAAAAAACCCAAACACCAAATCCTGGCTCTTAATACTTTGTTACTGTATTTTTTTAGATCCGGACTGGAGTACTGTCCCACAGCCTGTAAAACACTTTATATCCCCTTTTTCTCCTTCCTACTGCTTTTCTGGAGATGTCTTATCAGCAGGGTGTGTAGTAAAGGCAGGTGCTATATATGTACCTGGGAGGAAACAATTTCTAGCCCAAAGTTTGCTGTGACTCAGGTACTTTTATCTCACCTGCACTGGACCCCTGTTCAGCTGCTGCCTGAATGCAGTGGCACCACCACACTGGAGGCTTCCGCACTACTTAACTTCTAGCTTCCCTGGGTGCTGGCACTGCTCATGCCCCGCGGCACCTTGTTCTTACGCAGCCAGCAGTCCATGAACACCTACCGCCTGTCGAGATCAGTCAGGTGGCACCAGCTCTTCTTCTCTCCCACTCCCACCCATGTTGCTTGACCAGTGGGGCTCGACATAGTACTCGTGCTCTGGAGATGTCTGTTAGGACCCTCGTGCAGTGTCATTTGGATGTCAAACACTTGCTTTCCTTGGAGCAGACGCTAGGAGTGAGAACATGTTCTTCAACAGAGCTGCATGCTTACCAAAACAAAATAATCATGTTGCCTTTGGCACCTTCACTTCCTGATTTACAGTTCTATGCATAGTGGAACAGTTTCAGAGTATCTTCCTAGATACCTAGAGTATCTTTTTCCCAAAACAGCATTTATTAGGCAAGAGATGAAGAAGGGGAGGTGGGCATGTGAGTTGGAATCTGCTCAATATGAAGAAAATCTTAATCCCCACAACTAGTCATCTGAGTAAATGGCTTGATGTCCAGCAATGTCTGCTTACTGTAACTCTACTTACTGTCACAGTGAGTAACTGTATCAGCCTCAGCCAGTTATTGAGTCTGAACTGGCCAAGACAAAATTTGGATGTTTCATTGTGTTGATGGTTTTTTTTAAGAGATCTGATATGTGCTTTCAGTGTTTTTCTTTTTTCTACTTTTACAGTAAAATTGCCACTTGCAGCCTCTGCCAAACAAGTAGGAGAGGATTTCAGGTAGGATACTATTATATTTTACAAGTTTCTAGCATTTTTCACAAAGCAGGAGTGAGAGAATGATCCCAGCCTGATTCCTCTACAAATCCACTCTCCTCCTTTTTATGCTCCTCTGACACTGTGCTTCATTGTTTTTCATTCATAAACTAGACAGCTGTCCTTGGCCACTTTACACTGTGGTTGAGACTGCAGTGGATTGTGATATTAGAGAAGCAGAGCATCCTCTTTCCTCCATCTCATCTGGAGCACCAGCCCCCCTCCTTCAGCACATAGCTGAAGCTCCTTTCCCCATCTTTGCTGGACTCACCGGCTCACAGGCACTGATCTGGTGCTTTTCTGGAGGAAGGGGTGATTGCTGCTGCCTTGGGAGGGAGAGAGAAAATAGGGCCATGCAGCTACTAAGAAACAGGGCAGAGGTGAGAAAATAAAGGCCAAGCCAGGCTAGGTGGCACAGACAGTCCAAAACAGACATTTACTTATTTAGAATGGTTGGATATCTTAAAATCACAATATTGTCATGGTGCTAGTGCATAGCTTATTGCTAGTGCACTCCCTTCACTTCTGGGTTCTCATGCTTTGGTGATGAACAATGACGGTTGTACACTCTTAGGGGTGTGCAAGGCCCCGTGGCAGTAACACTGACAATCAGTGTTGACTACTTTCCTACTGATAGCATAAACGTTCTGTATCTTGCCAAGCATACATGTGGCTGTTGTTGGGTAATGGAGCAAAGTGAAGTTAGCTAGCTAGTTAGATTGCAGCGGATCCTGCCACAAACACTTTATGAAATAATGCATATTAATTTGTTCACACTACCTGATTTCAAGGACTCCAGCTTTGCACCTTGCAGCTCAGACTTTGCTACACAAACTTGAAAATTGTAGGCTCTCCCCTGATAAAAGAGGAAAGAAGTGTCTTTGGTGTCTGTCTTTACTTCTGTGATGATAAGGTAACCCTCTGCTGTTTCTATGATGGGTACTTCTGGCTGACGCAGAAAGGATAGTGGGATAATGGCTACATGATATTGGCAATAGTGTACTTAAGATAGTATCGTGGCATTGTGGTTCTTTGTAGTTTGAAATACAGTAAATTCTTTTCTTTTTGGTTCCACCCCCCCCATGTGATTCTTGTGAAATGCTTCAGACTAAAGTAGCAGGAATTTTACCTGTAAGGATTTTCTATTCTGCATGGTCATCTTTATGTATATCTTGTCATGAAATTGTGTGGAGATAAAATATTGTCTGGCCTAACCTCTGTGTGTTTTAGCTCTGAGAGTCTCACCCAGGATGCTAAAGGCAGTCATGAAAAGCCGTCTGTGCCACAGGAGGCAGGAAAAAGTGTGTGCCGTGATACGATCCTATCCACAAGAGACAATTTCCATTCACCCAGCTTTAATCTGGTCTCACAGAAGATTAAGAAACACAATGGCAAAAGTGTCTCCAAGTCTGCAGAGAAGACATTTCAATATTTAAAAGGTTGCTCAGTTATTGTTCTATTTGAAATACACCAGAGAATAGGATTTAGTTCTGTTTGTTGGGTTTCTTGGTCTAGCTATCTCAAGGTACTGAAAGACATAAGACAGATAGTAGCAGTACATCAGCAGTGCTGGAAAACTCCTAGGTGTTCAGCAGCAGCTGATAGCACTGTGGCAGATACCAGAACTGGTGTCATGGAGCTTCCCAGCTGAAACACTGGAGGTCCAGAAGCTCATTAACCTCTTTGTGAACAGCCCAGGGGAAAGAGCTTGAAAAAGCTTAACCTAATGGCAAAGGATAATGCCTCTGACCCTGCACTATCCTTCTGCAGTTACCGGTGGGAGAGGCTCTAGCCACCAGTTCATTGCTTTTCATATGTATCAGCATTCCATAAAGGGATGTATGGTCTGATGCTGTGAAATGTTGGGATTAGCCTTTCCAGGGGATGTCAATAGAATATCATATTGCTGGAGGAATAAAACCAGGTCCTGTGCCTATGGCTGAAGTTTCCACATTTTAGTACTAGATTTTGAATCATGCTGTGGCTCTCCTTTAGTAAAGGAAATGTTTCTGCCATAATACCACAGTTTCTTGTGAAGGAAACCAAAGCCATGTACTTTTTCAGTAAGTAGTAAGTCTGTAGTTGTTGATATGGATTTGTTTTTTCCTCCTTTTTGGTTCAGGTCATGATCGTACTGCAAAGAGCAATTCAAAAAAGGAAGAAAGAAAAATGAAGGAGAGGCTCCCCTCAGAAAGCACAAGGCCCAAGAAAAACAGGACAGCAAGCCAGAATGCAAATTTTGGGAAGAGTAAATCCTGCCTGCCACAAGACACGCTGTAGTTCTCCCTGCCATTACTGCCTGAAGCAAAGAATAGACAACATACTGCAAAATACCGGGGTATATTTTGGAGCCCCAGTTCTTCAGCCAGTGAAGGCACATGAAAGTGTCGTAGCTGATTTGCTTAAACAGTTCCCAAGACTTTGGTTATGGATTATGACTCTACCAACAAGGGAGTAGATACTCACAGATATCAAAATTCTTCATGCTCTTTTTTTTTTCTGAAAAATAGTTCACACACATTGGCTAATGTAGACATGAAGTTTCTCTTACCACATGAAGAAGTATCCTAAATTCTAAACCAGTTTAGTAGCAAGTCTCTCCTGAATATAAAGTATCATTTGTCTTAAACAATATATACTGGTTTTGTGAGGAAGACTCCCCCCCTCTTCTTTTTTTTCCTTCTTCATTCTGTTTGGAAGTTTCCCTAAGGTTCTCAAGGAAAGTGATTATTCCCCAAGCAGCTGAAGCCACCATTCCTTGATCATAGTAGAGAAACTGGAGGGTCATAAGCCACAACAATCATTCCCCCCCTTTCACCAACAAACCAAATACATGTTACACTCAAAAACATTTGACATAAAATCAGTACACAAATAGTCCATCTGTGGAACTCTTTGCTAAAGGATGTCATGGATGCAAAAAATGTACATGGATTCAGGTGGATATGTACCTTATAGATAGACCACTGGGAGTTTTTGAATAGACACATATGGCTTGGGAAATCTCCTAGGCTGAAAAGAGTGAGAATCTAGAAGAGTGCTTGGGAAAAGCATTGGATATGTTTGTTCTGTTCCTGCTCTCCCCTGGGAATCCACAGATGGTCACCTTGGAGGTGGGGTGCTGTGATAGATGGCCCCTTGCCCTAAAGCAGTGTGGCCATTCATGTGTTCTTACATAATTGGGTAATATTTTATTCGTAACAGTCATATACCTGCATAGTTTGCATTTTTCTTAATGTGTGTAGCATTGTACAGACATGTGGGAGACAAGATGAAAAATACACGAAGACAGGTACTGAGTTTTGTTTCCTTTAAATTTCCTAGCACTTAGGACTGCCCACTAAGCAAGTCAGGGGTCTTCGTCTCTCTAACTTGTCTCTGTCTCTAGAGCATGCTCCATTTTAGTCTGTACATTGGAACCTATTGCTGCAAAATCAGGGCCATTAACTTTTGAGCATTTGAGAGGGGCTGCGCTAGAATTGCCAATAATAAATAAAACCTAAATTATATTGCTTTGGGAAACCTAGGGTTCAAACTGCGGAGCAACTAACACTGGACCCCCAGACTGAGCTGCACTTCCTTAACTGCACTCTATCTGCAAGAAGAAAGAATTGGCCAAATACTTAAAATGTATTGCTGGAAGGAAATACCCCATACAACCCCTCTGTTGTGGACTGTATAAGAAACAAGAAGACAAATCATACTGTATTGCAGCAAGACAAATGGAGTAATAAGACCAAAGTCCTGGGGATTGACTTCTGGGAGCCTCATATCTGATACCCTGTGGGATTAGGGTTCAGTCTCACGGAATCCTAAATCCAGCACATGTGCAGACAGCACAAAGCCATTTAGCTTTGCACTGCTTTGGACTCCGGTTCTTAGGTTGCCAGCAATGTCCTCATGACAGCTATAGGAAGAAAAGCATAATGTTGGTTTCGTTTCACTGAGATTTATTTATTGTTAGTTGTCAGCAGATTACAGATGAGAAAAAAAATAGTCATTTTATGATTTTTTCTGAATATATTTCTAAACAATGTAGAAGAATATGAAGTGAGCTCCAACCTCTCTTCTCACCAGCCTAAGGACTCCAGAGGAATCCCTCAAGTCTTGTACAATGGGGCAGTACTGGCTATAGCTGAGAGGGTTTTTGAGTAACTAGAGGGAGCAGAGTTCTGCTGTGGAGATTCCTTCAGGAATGAGGACCAGGGTCATGACCAACTTCTGGGAAGGAAGTCTGGTAGCTTACTTTTAAACCAGCAGGCTAAAATAAGCAAAACACTTTTGAAAGTCCCAGCTCATCTCATGCTTTACCTGTCATTGCTAATATTACTAGAACTGCTGACAGCACTGCTGTGTGTGCTTTAACGGCACCACAAGGAACTGCAGAGCAGTTCCTTCCACTGTAAAGCCATGTGAACATCTTAATGCTTCTATTTCAGGAAGCAATTCCAGGAAGAAACAATTGCATGGGGATTTAGTGGAAGCTAGCTCCTGGGAAGAGCTCTCCTTTCCCACCCACAGACACCAGGCCCCAGCAGCCCAAAGACTCACCCCATCTGTCCCACCTCCAGGCACACATGTAGAAGCCCCGCTCTCTTCCTCCTCTCCCTTCCCCTTCTTTCTCCATCAGACATGTTGACCATCATCCCCCTGCTTACCTCACCCCACACCCACCACCCCCGCTGCTCCATCATCAGACAGACTTTGAGCATCTGAAGCCAAAGGAGCAGCCAGGGGACACCTGTAAAACGTCCCTAGGAAGAAGAGCGGGGCATATCGCATCCTGCCCAGCCTTCAGGCACAATCTTCCCTGCCCAAATGCCTGGAAGGAGAAGGCAGGGGAACAGCCTGCCAGAGAGGCAGCCAAAGATGTGGAAGGCAGCCTCCCGAATAAGGTCGGTGGTACCAAGGGCAGGTCTTGAGCCAGAGGCTGACTGTACCTCTCCCCACCGGCAGCCTGGGCATCCCCGGAGGCATTAGAAGCAGCAGAGAGCGGGACCCTGCAGGGGAGGAGACACGGGAAACACAGAGGAGCGCTTCCACCAGAGGTGCACAATCAGGCGACCGGCTCTGGCCAGGAAGGGGCCACACTCCAGAAGTAACATTCCCAAATGGTGCGTTTAGTGCTTGAGCAGTGCGGAGAAGGCCAGAGAGATGGAGGTGTATGCAAGGGCTAAAGCCGGGACGCGTGGCCATCTGTCAGGCGCACGAAGGCTGAGGCGTAGGAGATGGGAAGGGGATCAGATGCCTCTCTAGGAGAAGTGCTGTGGCATGATGGAGCAGACCCATTGCGGCAGTCATCCCGATTGCCCCAGCAAACAGGACCCCAATGCGACGTGAGGATGTGTGTGATGGAGCTGCTTGTGCCTCCTTCTTGTGGCAGCAAAACGGCAAATTCCCCTGCGGTGCTGAGGTCAGCAGAGTCGTCGGCTGATCACCAGACCCAAATCGTAACGCCCTTTTCCTTCCTGAATGACAAAAAAGTGAGTGGTGTGAGGCGAAACTGCGTGACCGCCCCTCGTGAGAGCACAAACGTGCCTCCTGCCAATGCGTGTTTCCTCACTGGAACAGAGGTCCCACCTCGGTGCTCTCTGCTCGTACCCCAATTTCGCAGCCAGCAGCCCCAGTGTTAGTTACCGGCCACACTCAGCCCCAAGGCTTCCTTCTGTGTCCCCGCCATTCACCACATCCAGCTCAGCAGCTATGGCCTGCTAGGCTTTACTTGCTGCAAACCTTCCACCCCCGCCCCTGATCTCTCCCACCGTAACCCCAGCCCAAGCTATCTGTGATCCGAACCACCTCAGTCCAGACCCTTGTCCTTCTCAGGGCTAAAATTATTCCACGTACACAGGCTGGGTAGGAAGGCACCTCCCCACCGCTACCTGCCTGATGGCTCTATCCATCGAGCTTCTCTTCTTCCTTCTGTATTTCCCTTCACCTCCCTTGTGCTCTTGGATGCGAGTGCCAATATTACAGGCTCACAACCTCTGTACCACCCGGAGGTTTCCAGACCGTGCCTAGATGTGGAATGACTAGGTGGGACTCCGTGAACACCTTCGTGGCTAGGTGTCCCACACGTACCCCCCCCCAACACACCCCTCTCTACCGGACCCACCACCAAGGCTGCTTACAGGACAGGACAAGCAGTTCTGGACCTGGCCAGGAGGACTAAAGGAAGGAGAATTTTGCCCCTTACATCACTCGAGGTTTCACAGGTTTCCTGTCGCGGCAGGCAGCTTGCCGCTTCCGCGCTGCGCCTGCGTAGACACCGCGTCTGCAGGCGAGGGGGAGTCGGGGCAAAGCTGGGTCTGGGAAGCGGAGGGAGGGGAGCAGCGTTCAACCTGCGAGAAGGGCGAAGTGGTCGGTGAACACCGACAGTGGTGGGGTTGGCACTGGGATGGTCGGTCACCTCTACAGAAGTGTCCAAACAGAACAAACTCGTCTCGGCCCCCACGGACACCCAAGCCGCTCTAGTAGCACAACTTTCCCGGGTGAGCTTAGCCCGGTCAGTTATTCACGTGGGTCAGCACAGCTGGGAGAAGAAAGTGCAAACCTGCCACCGCTTTGGATGGCAGTGGCAGCGCTCGGCCTGTTTTCTTGCTCGTATTTATTAGATGACGCAGCATCAGGGAGGAGCATTGCGTTAGGCTCCCACGACCTTCAAAACTGAAAGAGAAACCAGAGGCAGCTGCTTGTGACACACCAGGGGCTGCGGTGTCAGAGCCCAGACGCCACGGGACCTGGCAGCAGCCACAGACGGGCTCGGCTCGCCCGGGTGACACCTCGGCCCTCTCCAGCGAGTTTCAGCTCCGCACCCAGCCAGATGGGCAGCCCGTAAGTATCCTCCGCTGGGTCCCCCACCTTTTTAATGCCGCTGGCATCGCGGGGAGCTGCCAGGAGAAGAAGTGGTGCTGCAGGATGCAAATGTCTGGGAGGGAGCAGGTCCTTCCCCAGCTGTGGCACGCTTTTGGGACAGTTCCTCCGCAGCCCGGTCCGTGTACCGCCGGCTGGTTTCTGTTTGCCAGCAATCCCTAACTTGTCAGCGGCCTTTCTTCCCCTGTGGTTTCCCTGCAGCTGATCCTGCCTGAGGGGGAAAGCGGGATCCTGGGGAGGAGCAGGTGGCTTAAAGGAAAGGTTCCAAGTCCAAAGCTGCCTTCCTTTCCCACCACTCTTGCACGGCATTACTCGCCCCAGCAGCCGGGGAGGGGGGATGCGGGAAAGCCAAGGCACTCGGCCAGCAGCTCGCTGGGGGGGACGCACAGCCCCAGCCTGGCAAGCCGCTCACCTGCCCTGAGTCAGCAGAAGGAAGGGCCCCGCAGTCCCGGCAGCACGGAGGGTCCCTACAAGCCCCGTCTCACACACAGAGACCCCAGGGAGCTCCCGAGCCGCCCACACACAGCCTTTCTCTGCCCGGGAGACAGACACAGAGCTCTCCCGTGGTGCAGCCCGGTGCTTCCAGCGATGCCAGCCCAGAAACAAGGGGGCTGAAGCCAGGCTGGGGGTCCCTGCGCCGTGCTGGGGTTCCTCTTTCTCACATCCTTGATGGAGAGCCGCAGACTGTCCCGTCCAAGGGCACAGGCACCTCCTTAGAGCCGGAGGGGCTGCAGATGTCTGGGAAAAGCCCCAGCTGGACACGGGCTGACAGCTCTTTCCTGTTTATCCGCTGCGTCTGGGCCGGGCTGCCTCCAAACCAGCCTCGGGGCCGAGCCGCAGAACTCAGGAATGCCAAGTCTGGGACACCAGGTCTCAAGTTTTCCATCCGTCGCCTCCAAGCCAGCCGTGCGCTCTCTGCCCCAGCTGGCACCGGGCACCCGCATCGGACGGGTTTCGGTTTCTGTCCCTGTCGCAGTCACGCCTGGGGACAGGGATTTTACCTGCTGGGCTGGGGACGCAGCCGGAGGCTGAGGGGGAAATCTGCCCGCAGTTTGGCAGAGCGAACAGAGGGGCATCGCTGGGAAAAAAAGAGGTCTTTATAGACATGAGCCTCAAAGCAGAGGAGAGGGCAGAAATACCATTGGATTTCCCCGGGGCCCTCATACACAGAGATCACGTTAACAGCACAGGGTCTCTGAGGTGGCTCTTCTTCAGCCCTCCATGTATTTCCACGAACCTGCTAGGAATTTAATTCTCTGTCCCCTCTCTAGTAAACATGTGCAATTTTTAATTACTTTTATATTTTATGGAGGTGGGGGAGGGTTAATAAAAAGTAACACAGGATGATTGAACGAAAAGCCCGTATTTCTACAGGCCTGCCCGCCTTAGGAAACTGGTCTAAAGAAACACGACAGCAAGGGTTAGTGGGTGAGCAGGGCCAGGAGCCAGCTGGGCTGTACTGGTCCCAGCTCTGAGCTCCAACACAAATCCCTGGGGAGCTGGTCAGCTAACCAAGAGCCCCCTCCAAGCACAGCTTGTTCTCCCTCCGAGGGCTGCAAGGCAGGGTGGCAGGGAGAACGGCGGGCAGGCGTAAGCTGTTGTGGAACAGGGAGAGGAAGAGCAGCAATGCCTGGCTGCAGGAGAGCATGTGTAAAGCCAGACAAACCAAGAGGCAACACCAGGGGCGTGACAAACCCTGGTGCAATTACATGTGCAAGAGGTCTCATTCTGCAGCACGCTCTGGGGCCAGGCACAGATCTTTTCCTGGTTGTTTGTGTCTCCGTTGTAGATTCAGAACCATGGGCATCCTCCGTGTGACCGTCCAGTCTCTCCAGAAGCCTGTTGTGAAGACCTCCAAGGGAAGCTACAAGAAGTAGTGAAGTAGTGAGCAGGGGAAGGGGACAGGTCGGTGTCTGGATGCTGTGACCCCCTTCCATGGTGTGTGTGCTCGTCCTGGCTATGACTGTGGAGGACGAGAAGTTTGGGATGGAGAAGCTTTATCCCTGTGCACATTAAACATTGGTGCCCCACTCCCAAGTATCCAGGGAGACAGGGATTGTGGGGGGGATGCTGAAGGGTCTCTACTCACCAGCACTGCAGCCAGGCACTGGGTACAGATTGAGTGGGGTCTCTCCTGGCACTCTAAAAACTCAGAGGCTGTGCTAAATCCACAAGCAGCTGTGGGGTGATGGCCTGGGACATTGGGATGATATACCAGTGGGCAACGGGCAGTGGAGGGGAGACAGCAGGACCGACGTTGTGAACTTCTTGAGGGAAGGTGGTAAATCACAGGAGATAGTGCTTGGCATAGGCAGGAAAGGGGTTATTTGCAGAGCCTCAAGCTGGAGGCTGAGCTTGAAGCCGAGGTCTGAGCTCCTTGCCCTGTGTTTGTGCCTCTGTACAGACTCGGGTGGGCAGCGCTGCGATGCTGCGTGGCTCTGCAGCCAGCGGTACCCCTTCCTCATGCCACTTCCCTGTTTTTCAGTGCAAAGCAGAAGCCTGCAAGAGGGCACTGAGGACAGTCCACGTTTCCAGGACAGGAGCAGGGACTCGCGTTTGCCAGGCAGTCTGAGAGAGGAGCGAGGAGGATGGCAATCGCAGGTCTGTCTCCGTAGCCTCAAAGGAGGGCAGGTGGGTCCGGGGTGTCTCTTTGTGGTGGACGACTGCCCGTCTGCCTGGGGCATCGGTCCTCAGGCAACCGGGACAGAGGAGCACCATGTCTGCCAGCCTCAGCGGGGAGCAGGGCTGCAGGCGATCAGCCCTGCTGTGCCCAGAAATGTGCAGGCGCACACGGGCCTCAGGGGCATGTGGATGCTGGAAATGAGTGGCATCAATGGCATCAAGTCCCAGAGCTGGAGGGGGGAGGCAAGGGGAGCCCCGCACTTCAGATCTTGTCGGGCCTGCGTTTTACTCACTTGTCCAAAGATCACAAAGGATGTCCTTGTCTGGCCACAAGTGAAAGAAAAGCATTTTCCCAGAATAGCTCTTAACCCCTTCCTTACCAGACAACAGTGGTTTGCTCCCCTCCCATCACTGCAGTTTACTGACGAATGCGTCTCTTGTCCATGTCGTGGTTTAACCCCAGCCAGCAACTAAGCACCACGCAGCCGCTCACTCACTAACCACCCCCCCCAGTGGGATGGGGGAGAAAATCGGGAAAAGCAGCAAAACCCATGGGTTGAGATAAGAACGGTTTAATAGAACAGAAAAGAAGAAACTAAATGATAATGATAACACTAATAAAATGTACAAATGATGCGCAGGGCAATTGCTCACCACCCGCCAACTGACACCCAGCCAGTCCCCGAGGGGCGATTCCCCGCCCCCACCTCCCAGTTCCTATACTAGATGGGACGTCCCATGGTATGGAATACCCTGTCAGCCAGTTTGGGTCAGGTGCCCCGGCTGTGTCCTGTGCCAACTTCTTGTGCCCCTCCAGCTTTCTCGCTGGCTGGGCATGAGAAGCTGAAAAATCCTTGACTTTAGACTAAACACTACTTAGCAACAACTGAAAACATCAGTTTTATCAACATTCTTATACTGAACTCAAAACATAGCACCTTACAAACTACTAGGAAGACAGTTAACTCTATCCCAGCTGAAACCAGGACAGTCCAACGTGAGACCGTGGTGCAAAGGGCACGTGCGGGGCTAAGGGAGCCATACTGTCCTCCCAGTGATGGTCCACACACAGGACATCATTAAAGCCACCTTTGCTGTGACCAAAAATGCACATCCCCCGCACCCAGTAACACATGCACAGCACAGAGATGCTCCTGCTCTCCTTGCAAGGGGAGTCCCGAGACCTCAGGGCCACAGGCTCAGAGCACACCTTGGGAAGGGTGCCATGAGACGCAACCACCAATGGGTTCCCCGCTTCGTGTTTTGCAGCAGGCGTCCCCACTGCAGGCTGTACCACACTATCAAGAGAGCACGCAGGTGCCAGGATGGGTCTGCTGCAGCAGCGGTGCACCGGGCACCTGCTGTGTGCACTGACCTTCCTTGAGGCTGCTGGAAACTTGGCCTTGATGCTCTACGCGCTGCTCTGGGAAGCCGGGAACCTGGTCGACCTCCCTGACAAACGCATTGGCTTTTACAACTTCTGCCTGTGGAACGCGACAGCTGGGGAGCTGCAGTGCCTGGAGTACAAGCATCTGCAGGTGATGGGCATCAGCCTACCAGGAATGGTGCTAGCCAGGGTTTGTGTGTACGCCTGCCTGGTCTTCAGCATCTTCTACCCTGTTTTTGTTGCACACGTGAAGTGCAGAGAGGAGAGAGAGGGCTGGAAGGCGATCCTCATCATACTCATCATCAAGATGATAATCCTGTCTGGAGGCCTGGGTACATTTCTTTTCCAAACCTCGCAGTGGATTCACCTCTCGGATTTCACTGGGGGCTTCCTGGCATTGCTTGGGACTCAGGCTCTGCTGCTGCTCCAGATTCTCACTGCCACTATGTACCTCAGCTGGGCCAAGCAACACACATCCGTGTCAAAGCCCTTTTACTGATGGGGCCCTGCCCGTTGGGATTTGAGAGTGAAGAAGATGCAAGCGCTATTGATAACATGCTTTAAAACCGTAATCCCACTACAGCTTTAGTCACTGGTAGGAATTTGATCCTTAGTCCAAAGGCCCATATCCAGCCTCTGGCAAATGGCTGCGTGCAGTGCTCCTGCAGCAAGCAGGCAGCAGACACCAACACCCGCAGCACGGCGTGGAAGCTTTCTGGGAACAGCAGCGTGCAACACACCCCTCAACCTGGGGCACAGCATCACAAGCGACAGCATTTCTGGCCCTGACCCAGAGGAGAGCGAAGGGGACGGATCAGAACCAGCACACAGTGGACACAACCCTCTGGCCACATCTAGCCTAAGTATAAGCAGGCAGAGAAGCAAACAGGCTTCCTTTCTTGGCATTGCCCAAAGAGACTCTGCTCCTTCTCCACCTCCCGAACTCACCAGGGACGCCTTCGAAGCAACTTGAGGAGCTGCAGCTTCACACGGCCATCGCAGCAGTGGCAACCCCAGAGGTGCACTGGAAATACTCTTCGGCAGGAGCACCTGTACTTCACCTGCTGGAATAACACCTGGAGTGACTCTGCTTTAGTTCATTTGGGTGGAGTGGCCCACATCCAACCCCAAGCAGCAGCAGAGCCCCTGGAGAGGCAGACCAACAACTTGCTGAACACTGAACCCAGCTCTAATGAGGAGGGTTTCCACAAGGAAGCAGACGATTTTGGTGCAGAGCCCCAGGTTTCTCCCCACTTACGTTACGGGGCTGAGCCCCGCAGTCCAGCAGCCTTTGAGACTCCAGGAGAACGGGTTCTGCACGAGGGCAGGTCACCACAAAGCTAGCTCAGACCAACGCGCGCCCCGTGCAAGCGTGTGCTCGGGGAGCAGCGCAAGGGCTGCCGAAGGCTGGGGTGCAGTGCCCCAGCTGGGCCATCACAGCCAGCGCACTGGATGGGGTCTCTCCGCCTCAGTGGCGGTACACAGCACCGCTCCGTGCCACGTCTGTAGCCTCGCACAAAGCAGCGCCTGCTTTCCCCCCCATCCCCTTCGGGACACCAGGGTCCGTTTTCTCCCCTGCTGCCGTCTTGGTGGGGCTGTGGCTGGTGACGCTGGTTTGACTGATTCTGCGTTTCATTAAAGGCTCTCGCGCCTGTCCTGGCTTCGCGTGGTTTGTTCATCCCCGCCTCAGACTGCCTCTTGCCACTGAGCCATCCTTATCCCTCCCTAGACCCCCCCGCACCCTGCCATGGGGTCAGCCTCCTCAGAACGGTCCCTGCCCCTGCCAGTCCGCTCCCACCCACGTCCTCCCCAGCTATGGGAGGCCTGGAGGCACATTCAGCGTCAGGCCCAACGGGGACAGCCTGCCAGGCCCCACGGCAGCTGTCACAGAGGGACCGCAAGGACAAGGGAGCCCCAAGGCTGAACCGCGACTATTGGGCTCCGCAGAGCCAGCAAAAGCCTGCCAGGGCCAGCAACGCCACGCTCCCCTCGAGCCCCAGCACCGACCCACCAAAGGGACACTCACAGGAACCCAGATGTCCTCTTTAATCTCTCCGCGCTCCGAGACACCGAGCAAAAACGAACACGACCTAACCCGGAGCCAAATCCCGCTGAACCCAGCGCACACCGGGAGAAGCGGGTGCCCCCTTCCTTTCCGCCACGGCTTTCAGGGGCCTCCTCCCAGCTCCACAGGCTCCCAACCCAGCAGACCCACAGCCCGCTCCAGGTCCTCCTCCCACCGTCCCGGGTGGCCCCTTGGCTCCTGGGCAGCGGCGGAGCAGGCAACGTCAGCTGAAAAAGATCTCCCTGACGTATCTCAGAGCATCGTCCTCAGAGTCCTCCCAGCCCGTCCGCCCCGCGTCGGCACCGGGAGGGGACGGCAGAGCCGGGCTGCGGCCGCTGCCTCCCCCGGTGCTGGCCGTGCTCCCCGGAGCCTCCTCTGGCGCTGCCCGGAGCTCCTGCTCCTCCTGGCTCCCGGACCGGGCCTTCTCCTCAGCTTCCTCGCGCTGCAGGTTCTAACCGAAGGGAAAAACAACCAGACCCGGCTGTGCGCGAACTGCAGCCCGAGGGGCAGAGGGAGCAGCCCCCCCGCGGGACACCCCCAGCCAGTCCCCAGGGAGCCGCCGCCGCCGGTGGCAGCGCTCCCTGCCCGCTCCCCCGAGCCCTCCCCGCTGCCAGGACCGTGTGCGTGTGTCCCCCCCGCCCCGGGGGCTCCGGGCTCACCTCCGCCAGGACCGCCAGGGCCACATCCACCAGCTCCGCCTCGTTCATGCAGTACACCGCCGCCCTGCCAACCGCACGGGGAAGACGCTCAGGGCGAACCGGGCCCGGTCCCCCCGCCCCCCCGCCCCAGCGGCACTACCTGGGACCCGCCGCCT